TATCCAAACACTTAAAAATGCTTACTACCGGTGTCACACCGTAATAAGTCAATAAATTGTTTTTATAAGCAATTCCAAACACCCCTAAATAACCATTAATAAAATTATTTGTGGGCTTACATGTTCATCCCATGCATGCTTCTCGTTGTAGATAAGGGCAGCAGCCAGACTCCTCGCCGGATTAATCCCGGTTCCGGTGATTGGGATGGTGGCCAAGTGCACCAAGAACACCGCAAACCCAATTGGCAATGGCGCCAAAATCTGCCAAAGTAATCGATCATTGCGTTAATTTTTGTTCATGTGTTAACGAGTGCGTAATTATTGATCAAATTGTGTACGTACAGGGACGCGGGAGTCGCGGGCACTGAACTTGGCGTCGGTGGCAGAGAACACGGTGTAAACAAGGAGGAACGTGCCGATGATTTCCGCCCCCAGGCCAGCCAGCTGGGTGTAGCCATCGGATACCACGTTGGCACCACCGTTGTGTAGCTCGAACACACTGTTTCCTTCAAAACCCTTGACAACGATGGCACCACAAATGGCACCAATGCATTGCATCACCATATAGAACAAGGTCCTCGTTAACGACAATTTTCTACCCACAAACAATCCGAATGTGACGGCCGGGTTTATATGACCGCCTGCCATGCCACCAGTTCCATGGATGGTTAATTAGATGCAACAATTGAATTAGAGATTGATAATTAGGGCGGAGGTGCACCCACCTGAGATGCCGGCGGTGCAATAGACGAGTACGAAGATCATGCCACCAAAGGCCCAGGAAACTCCAAGGGCTCCGACGGAGGAGCATTTGGAGGGGGAATTAGAGACTTGGATTGCGGTCAAGAGGGTGATGTATAAAAAGAGAAAAGTGGCGATGAATTCAGCGATGGCCGCCCTGTAAAAGGACCAGCAGAAGAGCTCGGCCACCTCGAACAATGGAGCGGCAGGAGGTTCTTGGTAATCTTTATCATGGATCTGAGCCTCCGTCCCCAGCGGCCGTCTTTCCCCAAATCTGTGAGTTCCCAATCGGACACCATCTTCTCTTCCCTCCATTTTTTGTGTGAAATTAATTTCTCTCTCTAAAAACCGATGGTATTTGTAATGGAAGCGACTGGTGGTTAATAATTATTATTAACCACCTTCATAAAATTAATATAAATACAAATGGAAATTATTTAAATTATGACTATACGAATTACGAAATCAAGCCTAGGCATGGGGCTCTGCACCCAATTTTTCGACTTGGGCTTTTTGTATCAGGACTGGACCAGGTTTGGACTTGAATTTATTTATGCTTATGTAAATGCATGAAATAGTAACTTATTTTCGTAATTTTTTTATTATAGTATTTTATTTTTGTTTTTTTATTATAATAATGTACATTCAAATTATTTTTTGTTAAGGCATCGTACTTTAAAATTTCTACCCATTATACCAATGGTTAACCWGTTACCTTTTAAAYCGRTTAACCCTTTGACTTTTTTTTGCTTGTGTGACTTTAATGAGATGATGTGGATGACACATCATTTTTATGACTTAATTAAAATATAAAATAAAAATCTATTYCAAATTATTATTATTATTGATTTTCATTTTTTATTGCTATGATTTAAAAGCACATTTAATATTCACTTTTTCTTTTAAAGTTTTCTCTAAAATGTTAATGAAATAAATTGTGTT